CTCTTAGGATTAAGAGATATCTTACTGTCAAACATGTTTCAAAATGTGCACATGATACAATATGATGCATCACATCATAATCAGAAAGAATAATTAACAATTAGGGGGAGAAAAAAGCCAGGGTGTGAAATAATATGAGAGAAATATAAAAGTGAAATAATATAAAAGAAACATACACAGAGTTAAATTGCACAAAACTTGCCAACACAGCTCCATTCAAATGACAGCCCGGAGGTGCTGCTGCAGTGTCTAGGTCTCCCCTCCGGAGAAAAAAATGCATGTTTCATCCCTGATGCTTCCTATTTATTTCTTAGATACATGGGATGGTAAGACAATAATGCCTTTTTAAATTTATATCTTAAAAAATTATTTCCTGAAACCTAAATTCTGAAATTTGCTCTCAAGACCTTTACGCGATCATCAAATTTCTCTAAGGCATGGTATGTTCACATTTAAAAAGTGTGTACATGGTTTACACACAGAGGGAAAGCTGATACATGACTTGGGAAAACAAATGAAGTGACTAGAAAATGTTTTTAAGATAATTTTATATTCTTTCAAAAATCTAAGTTTCAGGGGTTGGTAAAGAATGTGAAGACATTTATACTTTTTCAAAATTTACATTCTAGATTATATAATATCTTAATCCAACTTAGAAAATAATTCCATTTACATATTATAAAAGAAATCAAAACAGACTGACTTTTAAATGAAAATTTATGGAAGATAAAATGCAATTTTAACTTGAGCTTCCCTTCACATTAAACATAAAACCTTCTATCAAATACATTCAATCATTGTAAGTTTAATTCCTAATTCACTTATTTTAGTAAAATTTTTCAAACTACCATCTTAAGGCTAATATTTTAATAAAACCAAATACTCCAAAAATAAAAGTTCTTACATAAGATGGCTGATTTTATATTTTAAATTACTGAATTAGAGTGCCCTCTATTGGATGAAAAAGGCAATAAAAGTTAAAATGACAAAGAATAGTTAAAATACCTAAAAAATTCGAGCCAAGTCATTAATATGTAAAATATATTTATTAATAACATAAATGCTACACAACAGATTTTCCTTTACTTTGATTTCTTCTAAATTACTTCTGGAATTATCTGTCATAAGACAACAAATAAGTTGAATGTTTCATATCATATAAACTTAAATTTTAACTGAACTCAAACGCCTGTCCTTCAGCCAGTAATGTGAATAATAAACAAAAGTGCTTTCCACATTTAACATTCCATTATAATATAGAAATAATTGCAACTTACGACTATGGCTGAACTACAGTTTGAATTTTCTTTAATGATGAACTGAAACCTCCCTACTTCAAGAGAGCTCTTACACTGCACAATAGAATTAGGCTGGGCACCAGAAGTCAGATTTATTTAGATCTAAAATTCCATAATTCTGTGGTTTTAGCAAGACCTCAGTTCAGACTCATTATCTGAGGCTTGGATTACTTCAGTAAGATCCTACCAGAGTTTTGGTCCTCTAGGCCAATAATATACATGTTAGTATAAGCTTTTTAAACAACAATGTTCAGAATCACCCAAAACAATTCTGTTTCAATTGTTCTGCCATGGTACCTGAGGGTGTCTGCATTTTTTGAAGCTTTCTAGATAAGTCTAATGTACGACCATTGCTAAGAATCACTGTTTGAGTCTCTTCCCAGAACATCTGACATCGAGGTACCACTTCTAACTTTTAAAAATGTCACCTTCATGAATGGACTCCCATACTCAAGAGTTGTTCTCCTCAGCATCAATATTAAACTTCTGACTAGCTTCCCAATCTAATTATCTGCCCCATTCTGTAACGAAATAGTTGAGTGGTAAGACTGCCTTCGTCTAGATCCAGTAAATACCGGACTGGTGCTGGTATTTACTGTGTAAACTTAGGAAGGTGATACAAGTTCTCTGTGCCTCCATTTTTCTTATCTATAAAATGGGAGGAGTAATACTGCCTATCTCGTAGGGTTAGTGAGGATTAAATCAATTTATATAAAGTGTTATGTCAACGTTAAAAATTATTATGACTTATCCAGCTTCACTCTTCACTACTTTTCAAGACAAACTCTCATGGTAAATTATCCTCATTTTAAATGCTAGGCTGCACCTTTGGGCTTTTGAACATTATGTTTCTGCAGACTGAAATTCTCTCCCATTCATTCATTCCATTCCAAGTGCAGAGATTATTTCCCCTTCCTCCAGACAGTGATTTAATTTCTCCCTACCTCCATGAAGACATCAATGAATACCTATAAATCATTAATCTCTTCCTTAAAAAAATTTCCTTTGGCTACAGGGTAATTTATTATAAGAAGTATAGCTGGGAATTAATGACATTGGCTCTGAGTTTGAATCCTAGATCTGTCACTTACCAGCTGAGTCATGTCCCAAATTTCTAACTCCATTATCAGGATTACTGTATAAATTAGGCGGCCTCAGTAATACAAAACTTTAAAACATAAAATAGCAAGCACTTAATAAATGTCAATTCTTATAATATTTATTTGTTTTTTATATTATTCTTGTCTACACACAGTGATTTAAGACTTCTTGGAGCAGAAATTCTGAACTCTTCGAAGTTAGAAACCACATCTCATTATTGCTATTATAAGTGCTACAGCTCACAACACTGTCATGGCCATTTATATTATATTATCTATAAGTACTCAGTTAAATTTTTTGTATAACTTGAGAGTATAATTCATTTTAAAAACTTGGAAAAATATTCTTGATAAATAGAAACACATTCAACAAAAAAAGGAATTAACTCAAATACAACACAGGCTATAGAGAAGAGTTAAATAAATTACATTGCTTTTTAAACATTCAATAACAAGTTTCTATCAGATTCAACTTCTGAAAGTCAGCTTTTAATAATGCATTTTATGCATCTAAAATCCTTTAGATTGTTCTCATTTCCTACAAAAATAAATACCAAAATTCTCAGCCTGACATTCAAAATCATCCATGGCCTGAACTCATTCTATCTTCTAATCTTATCTCCATTGTCCCCCTTTATGAACTTTATTATTCCAGATAAATAGAACTATTTGCTCTTACTCATGTGTACTCTCTGCTTTTCTGCTTCATGTAACCTTTAATATTTTCGTATGATAATATTTTCAAAGAACACAATATAAAGTTTCATTACAGGAACAAAGAGTGATCACTTTTATGGACATATAAGCTTGAATTTTGAGCTTAACTTCAACTTAGAAGCATTAACTTCTCCCTTAGTACTGTCACAGTATTCTTTTTTTTTTTTTTTTACAAAAAAACAGTCTTTGACTTACAAAAAAAATTGGTCACCACTCACCCCAAATTATGTCACCTTCTCAATGCCAAAAGCCCTTGCCATCACTACTCAAAAAACATAAGTTTGAATTATGGTCTCCAAGCAGAGCATGCAGACCTTAGGGTGCACAAGATACCAACTAAATAAAAGAAAAAAATTAGATCATCCATTTTACACTTTATCATCCTCACTTGAATTTCTCTTATAGTATATGCCCCATAATTTATAGCATATATTCTTAAAAATTATAAATAAATACATTTGGGATGTTTGCTCAAAATTTGTTTACTACTGGTACATAACAAAATTTAGAAACCACTGGTCTAGAATATCAGGTCTTTCAGAAAAATCTGTGGGTTGAGAAACAGAAGACCAGAAGTAGCCACTTTAGAAATATCTTTAGGAATGGACCTAAACACTATGTATTGTTTATGTAGGATAAATATGTCTTAATTTCTAATCAACCTTCAAGGTAATGTGGAAATGTAACTGGTTTGTAATTTGAGTTAGTATAGGCCTATTGCAGATTTTTTTTAAAAAAAACAAGAAGTTTTGCCCTAACATTAAAGTTAGTACAGTAAATATTTCATTACTATAAAAATATCATTTGGGAAAACTTACAAGTATTTACTTCATTATACATATAGTTAATCATAATTACTCATAAAGAGCTTTTATTGGAGCCAATAACGTGATGTTTTATGAAACACAGTGAAAGACAACAACAACAAAAAAAAAACAGGCCTAGAAGCTATGACTGGCCTTGGACCTAGACTAGCAAATACTACCCTGGGAAAGTGTCACTTTACATAACAGTAAGCAACTAAATGAAGTAAATGTTCTCATAACAGTCAGTATACTCAGCAAACTTTTTTTAGCTTTCATAAATAAAATGACATACTTAACACAATCTACTCTATTACCGGTTTTTGAAGAAAGTATAATATTTCTATAAAAAAATTAAGTACTAAAAGTGATAAAAGGTTTCATATCATAATAATTCATTTCCTTTAATACCGATGCATCCTATAAATCCTTCTATAGGACTAAAGACAAGATATAAAAATCTTGACTTTAAACTGACTGATTCTCTATAGTTTTTCTTGCTATTGTATCAATATAAAAACTCAACTAAGCAAGAATCTCTTACTCATGATTCAGATTCTGAGCTTACAGTTTGCATGCAAACTACTGGGATCTGTGTAAGATTACGAAAATATTCAGGTCAAACTATCCACAATGACTCTCTCCTACTATGATTTACAAACTGGGTGGGAAGTACACACTCATGGCTTGGCTATGTCTTTCTTCTTCAAGATGGTGTTAAACCCAGATGACAGAGAAAACAAGGGGAAAAGAAAAAAGGAAGGTTTTCTTCTTTCTTTGGAACCACTGTCATTACGCCCAATAAACCTAAAAGAGCATAATCAAAGGAACTATGAATTTATATGTTACAAGGGTCTAACAGTGGTGAGATCATCACAAACCATAAGTGACTTATCAAAGCATTTCTTCCCTACACATGCAGTGAGAATGAACACCAGTAAATATCAGGGAAGCGCAACGGGGAGCCTGACATTTGACCCTGGCTAAACCTAAAGGTAAGATAACACATAAATCCCATAGCGTTCAGGTACATAATGAATTGGCAAAGACAGACATATTGTCTTCTTTCCCCCCTTACTTACTACACTCTGGCTTCCATTTTTCCCAAGTTCTTCCTCTGAAATCTTGCTCAAATTATCTAAGTAGTGGTCTGATATTGTGTGGCACAAATCTTCAAAAGAATAATCCTTTTCTTGACAGAGCTTTATTTCATCCAAGAGTTTTGATAATTCGCCAGTCACAGTCTCACCTATAAGAAGAGAATATATTTTTCAGAAGTTTCAAAAAAGAATACTGCTAAAACTTCATGCTAAATGATAAAAATATAACCAGTATAGTGCGAGAACTCAAAACACGGCAAACAAAATTATCAGAAAGTTTATTTTGCTGAAAGTAAGGTACTAACACATACAAGGTAAGAGAAACCCCAGTAAGACAGTAGGCAGCAGAAAGGGCATCAGAGGGCAGACAGACTGAAACCACAATCACAGACAACTAACCAGTCTAATCACATGGACCACACTTTGTCTAACTCAATGAAACTAAGCTATGCCGTGTAGGGCCATCCAAGATAGACAGGTCATGGGGAAGAGGTCTGACAGAATGTGATCCACTGGAGAAGGGAATGGCAAACCACTTCACTATTCCTGCCTTGAGAATCCCATGAACAGTATGAAAAGGCAAAATGATAGGACACTGAAAGACAAACTCCTCAGGTCAGTAGGTGCCCAATATGCTACTGGAGATCAGTGGAGAAATAACTCCAGAAAGAATGAAGGGATGGAGCCAAAGCAAAAACAACACCCAGTTGTGGATATGACTGGTGATGGAAGCAAGGTCTGATGCTATAAAGAGCAATATTGCATAGGAACCTGGAATGTTAGGTCCATGAATCAAGGCAAATTGGAAGTGGTCAAACAGGAGATGGCAAGAGTGAACATTGACATTTTAGCAAACGGTTAACTAAAATAGACTGAAATGGGTGAATTTAACTCAGATGACCACGATATCTAATACTGTGGGCAAGAATCCCTTAGAAGAAATGGACTAGGCATCATAGTCCAAAAGAATCCAAACAAAAGAATCCAAAATGAAGTACTTGAATGCAATCACAAAAACGACAGAATGATCTCTGTTCATTTCCAAGGCAAACCATTCAATATCACGGTAATCCAAGTCTATGCTCTGACCAGTAATGATGAAGAAGATGAAGTTGAAGGGTTCTATGAAGACCTACAAGACCTTTTGGAACTGATGCCCAAAAAAGATGTCCTTTTCATTATAGGGGACTGGAATACAAAAGTAGATAGTCAGGAAACACCTGGAGTAACAGGCAAATTT